AAACTTTAATAACAATAAAAATGATGCGAAACAAACAAAAAATATCTCAAATGGAAACAATGACAAATAACCCGTTAGAGACTGCTAAGATTTTAAGAAATATTTTTTAAAATAAGAAAAAAAAAATTTACAAACATTACAAAACAAAAAAGAAAAAAATAATATAAAAATAAGTATGAAACTAAATCAGCCCCATATATATATATATATATATATAATTAAAATATTTTATATAAAATATATATAAAGAGATTTTTATACCTTCAATGATATATACAAAAGTATGCATTTATACATATTAAGATGTAGCATGTGTTTTTGTTTTTAGATAATTGCCTTTTATTTTCTTTCAATAACAATGATTAATTACTTTTTATATAAAATATATTAAATAATTTTTTTGTGTATTGTATATTTAGAATAGTAAGTTTGATATAAAAAAAAATCGACATTTTCAATTTTTACTCAATAATAAAATGCTTGTATTTTAGCAGCTTTAAAATTGTTTTATTTTTCTCAAAAAAATTTATTTTGATGTATGTATGTTTTCATATACTTTAGTTAAATTATAATCCTTTGATAAGTTTCAAACAAATTAAACAATTATCTTATATTATACGTATTTTAGGTAGCCATGCTAGGAGACTAAATCTCCCTTTTAACTATATCTGCCCCAGTTGTGGTGAGGACGATAAAAGTGCCTCCTATCTGCTTTGTTTCTGTCCGGCTCATGGGCGGCGCTGCCTTAACACTTTAATAGCTCTCTTTTTTGAGAATCTTGACGAACTGCAAAATCTCTCTCCGAATAGCATTATAAGCTTTGTCAAAGGTTCTAATGGGGTTCTAACCTAACCCTTGAGTTTTTATTTATACGGCAACATACTGATTTTTAATCTATTGGTTCCAACAGTATGCTTTCATATATTTTAGTTAAATTTTGATTCTTTGATAAATTTTAAACAAATTAAACATATATCTTATTCTAGATGTAACATATTAATGTTTAATGTATTGGTTTCAACACTAGCCGGCTTACCGCAGAAACACTCGTCAATATTGACAATAAACTGTTGTACTCCATTTATATTGGAATTTCATTATCCAAAAATATGGTGATTCAAAATGGCTGTACAAGGATTAGTAAAATTACAAATGGAGCGGGCTATAAACTGCTCCATGAATTATTGTGAGCCCCAATTATGACACCTATATATGTATAGTTGAAGATTTAAGAGGAGGCTATATATCAAAGAAGAGGAAATGTATTAAAAAATTTAACTAAAACAACACCAAAAGCATGACCTTAGTGAGATTAGGTTTAAGTGGCAGTCTTCTGTATTAAAATTCACTTAAACGCAAATAATGAACCATTTTGTTAACATATTTTATATAACGAACCACGATTGAGACACCGTACGTCAGATTTCAAAAATCACCTTGAAGGTAGAAATACTGAACGTCCACATATATACGATTTAAATATGAGAACCACCTTGATTGTACAAATCCCGAACGACTAGTTTACGAACAGCATCCCATTAAGGAAGATGCCACTTCCTCATTTAAGTAGACAGTAACCAACCTTAGAAGTCTAGAAAATTGACTATGTGTGTAATATGAAAGAATAACAGCTCTATCAGGTCAGTTAGAAAAAGGGCCCCAAAAATTTTGAATTATCTTAAGTGTGACCTATATATTCTAGGGTTTAAATATGAATTATATCTAAAAACTTTTTTTTCGGTACAACCTCTTACGCTTTCACTTCTAAATCCTTATTTATTAAAAGAAACATATAGAGATTTGAATGTCAAATAATAAATAGGGAGCTAAAACCATAAGTCTTAAGACTGCGGTCTTAAATCCCTAATGAACTTTAGAATGTATAGTCAAATTAATGGTGGTAGCAAAATCACTTTTCATAATACACCTTTTTTAGTCGAGATCAGAAAAAGTGTGAAAATCATAACAAAGATCTACATCACAGATAAATCCATGTTATATAGATATTAATGCCATCTAAAATGACAGTAACTTGTAGATTGCGTTATCTTCTTTTTAATTTTGGTTAGTTGAAGAAACCTTTTTTGATTCTATATTGCATATATATTACGTAATAAAATCTACAGTACAGTTAGAAATAATCTTTATCTTTTTGTTGACAGTTCTTAGCATTTATTTTATAAGATAATTCTTTTAAAATAATATAAAAGAATTTTTGTTATTGTAGTTCACTACTTTTTGAAATCTCTTTATAAAATAACCGCTAAATTACCAATGCCGATTAGTGATAAACGGAATATATTACTATTAAGGAAAAGGAGACTATAAAGCACTACAGTCGTAACATCTATTATACCACTTTTATAGACTTAGAGTGATTTCCGTGGTATAATAGCATTTATCTCGTTTTAGTTACAAATTTTAAATTGTGAAAAAGCGTAAAAAGCTATCCACCCTTTGAATGCGAATCACTTTTAATGCGTACTATGGAGAGAGATAAGACTTTTAATTGCAGTGTCTTCACTTAGAACAATTATTTAATATAGATTAGATTAGACTACCACTTTAGTAGTTTTATACGCTGAAACTCATTTGAGTCAGCTCGTCTGTTATAATGCCACGGATGAGACTCTGAATGTACATAGAAAAAATGTACAAAAATTGCATACATCGTTTATTTGGACGAAGGTGCAACTTAAATAAATTTATTGTCAATATTATGACCGATTTGTAGTCATTTCCATAAAGGTATGATAAGGTTTCCAAATCTTGCCTCTATTTATTTTATTCCTTTATCAGTTTTTTTATTACTTCCCATATCTGCTACTAGATTTCCCCATGAACACGTGTGAGACATGTCATTGTATCATGTGGTACTCAAATCTTTAGAAAGCCTTTATTGACAAAAAAAAAAACATCACTATTTTGATAACATAGAATTACTATCATAAATAAACAACAATAAAAATAAATGCAAACAATTTCTGGTTGCGTTATTTATTATGAGTACGAAAATCAATCGTAAATATTTTATAACAAAATAAAAAAAATATGTTTCCAAAAGGAATGTCTCGTTATTGGCTATTGAAATTATTTTTAACACAAATAAAACTGAATTAACTCCTCGACAGTGATTAAGTAACAATAAATTAACAGAAACAATAAAATACATTAAAAATAATAAAACAGCTTATAATATGTTGATAACAAATAGTATCACGTTGCAACAATATTTACGAGCTCGTAATATTGTTACAAATACAAAAAATTCATAAAAAATTGATTAACTAAATAAATAGACTTCGATATAAAAAAATAAATAAAGTGATCCGTAAAAAATGATATCATCTATAGGCTTACATTGCTACGATGAAATTTAATCTTTTTTAGGAGTGAGATTATTTAATTTTGGTTGATAGAATTCTTCAACGATAGCTTCTACCATTATATCCAGTACTTTGCGGCGTTCATCCCAATCTTTCTGATCAGGTTTACATATCAATTCAGCATAGTATTTAATTTTTGGTTCCGTTCCACTGGTACGCAATGTGATGACCAAACCATTTTCAAATGTAAAAGTAATCATTTGAGTACTCTTGCTAACTGGTAAAATAGCTCTGCCATCTTTTTGGGATGTATCTACACCAGTAGTTAAATCGCGAACATATTGTATTGGAAATCGACCATTAAGTATTGACTTAGGATAAGTTTTTGGTTTGCCATCCTGAAAATTACGCAATCTTTCGAATATACGTTCTATAACGGGTTGTTCATAGCAGAGGAAATAAGAAACTTTGGTGCAATGAAAACCATATTTATCATAAATTTCATTCAGTTTCTCAGTAAGTGAAATATTAAATTTCTCTTTAAGATAACAAGCCATTGTTGCCAAGTGCACAGCAGCGCTAACTCCATCTTTATCAAGTACAGTAGTAGTGAACATAAAGCCAATAGCCTCTTCAAAAGCAAACAAAACCTTTTTTTTCGCATCCATCAGTTCTTTTGCTTTATTTCCCATCCATTTAAAACCGGTAAGTGTTTCTACAAAGTTAAAGCCCTCAAGGGTAGCAATTGTGCCTAAGATTTTTGAACTAACCGTGCTAGCAATCATATAACTATCTATGGAGTATACTTCTGGATGTAGAGATCGGAAGTTTTGTAGTGCCCACCAGCCTAATAATGCACCCAATTCATTGCCGTTAAAAACCTTTAAATATTTTCATATTTAATGCTTTTTAATTTTTCTATTATAAAAAGTATATTGATGAATTTACCTTCCATTCTCCAGTTGTTCTACTCTTTTCAGCACATGCCAAACGATCAGCATCTGGATCGTTAGCTAATATAATAGTTATGCCTTCCCTGTCAGCTAACTTTATTGATAAATCGAGTGCGCTTTTGCCTTCTTCTGGATTTGGAAAAACAACAGTAGAAAACTCAGGATCCGCTTCCATTTGTTCGGGTACAGAAACAATACGATGACCCATTTTAGCAGTGCACATACCCTGCTGTACATAAGGATGACCTACACCATGCATTGCTGTATACACAAAAGATAGCTGTACATAAAAGAAATGAGCTTTATTACTTGAAATAATAAAGTTTAAAAATTCGAATTTTCTTACTCTACTAGTTTTATTTATTTCCATGTATTTTTTGGGTATATTTGCCAGCAAAAGTTCAAAATATGTACGATTCATAGTTTCATAAGGATCTTCGAGTAAAGGATGTTCACATAATATATCTGTATTCCATGAACTATCTTTTGGTTCTAGATTCTCTTCAATAGAACGTTGTATGTTCTTGTCATGTGGCGGTATAATTTGCGCGCCGTTCTCCCAATAAACCTTATAACCGTTATCTTCTTTAGGATTATGTGAGGCTGTTACCATCACTCCTGCTAAGCATTGTAATTGCATTATAGCAAATGGTACAAAAGGTGTAGGTACCATTCGACTATAGAGACGTACCTTAATATTACGTTGCAAGAAAACGCTAGCGGATAGTTCAGCAAAACGTCTGCTATTATGTCGCCCATCATAGCCAAGAACAATACCACGTTCAGCCTGATCTTTACTATTTGGAAATTGTTTTAAGATATATTCACATAAGCCCTGAGCAGTTTGTACAATAACGAGATCATTCATGGAATTAAACCCAGCACGCATAACACCACGCAATCCTGCTGTGCCGAATGTTAAACGATCCAGCAAACGCGTTTTCAAAGTACACCATTCCTTCTTGTTAACCAACTCCTGTATTTCGCAATGGGTTTTCTTGTTGCGATCCCAGCATAGCCATAATGAAATTTTATTGTCTAATTCCTTTTTTCCTGAGTAAGTAGGCATTGCTGGAGTGGGTTGAAGTATTCTTTGGTACTAAAGCAATTCCAAGTAAAATTAATAATTTATATTAGTTGTTATAAAATGTCAGTAGATAAGTTTTAACTAATTTTAAAAAATATTTTTGGTTGTCAAGCTACATATATTTGCATTATCTATTTATTGCTGTTTTTAATTATCAGGAAGAGGCTCGTCATTATTTAAAACTTTAATTATCTGAAATCATTCACTCTAATCAAATCGTTCTTGACCTTGAGTAACATTATTTATAAAAGTTTTCACAAATACACAAGAGCCATTTGTTTATCAAAGCGCGGTCAAGTTATTTATATAAATTATTTTATTTTTACACAACACGTTAAGAAATTATCCATATATAAACATTTAAATCGGACAGTGACCTAATTACCCTTGCTCTCGTTCAGATTAAAATTTTTGGTTTTAAATATTGTTTTACAAATTCGCGCAATACAATTTATCAGAAATATAACAACAATCAATTGAAACAAAAATGAAACAGTTTTCTTGTGTACACATAAATCTAATATTTATTAGAAAAAACTTACACCGCAAAGTTTGGTTTCACACTTGCAAAAAGCAATGTACAAATGAGAGCACACTAAATGACAGCTGTCAATAGTTTATTTTTAAAGCAAGATATGCAGTATGGATTGAAAATGATGTATTTTATATCTTCGAATTTGATATTTTTGTTATACATGTGTATATATTAATATTAGGTCTGTTCCACCAGCTATTCGTAATAAAACTCAAGTAAAACACAAGTAAAGTATAAATTGCTAGCGTAACACAAATAAAGTACTAAATTACTCTTTTACATAGATTTACATGGAAAAGCTTTGTGTGAAGTCTAGTGAGAACATCAGTGCCCTACAAATAAACAATACAAAAATTTAAATTTAAACCAAAACAGTTGATTCACACATCAACACAAAATTTACTTGAAATAAAATGTACGAGTGAAGTCTGTGTAGCTTTTTTTGACAGGGATGTTACGCTCTCTCAGATGATCTCATTCACTCAAAAATTTGTTGGTGAAACGTACTTCTGTATACACAGTGTTACTCAAAGCTACTACGAGTAGCTCGTGAAACAGACCTGCTCTCGACAGCTCGCAAATGAAGCAAAAAACAGCAAGCTGCTTACTATAGACCTTAAGCGAATTATTGGCTTCACTGTTGCAATCTGTTAAATGTTATGTTTTCGCAAAGAGCAAATCTTACATATGTGCACATAGATCAAGCAAATTACATTTTGTATAAAAATAAATAATAAAGCTAAAATTAAAAATTAATATGAGCAATGAACTAAAAGCAATGTTCAGAATGTTGGTTTTACAACAAAATTAATAATAGTTTAGAATATTTATGCTTGAATAAGAATTAGCTTGTTAGCAACAAATAGTTAAAAATTTTAAACCACTTCTCAATTATACTTTTCTCATACATTCCTAAAAATTTTTGAATATATTTATATGTATATAATTAAAATATTTATTTCCCATAATTTTGCATATTTTTAAAATATATCATTTCCACACTTTTCAAATTTTTGAAATTTTTTAATTTAGCTTGAATTTTTGTTTACAAACTTTTGAGATATAAGTGAAATATTCATTGAATTTTCCAACGAAGGTTCACAATAATTCGTTTATTGCGTAAGTAATTATATTTTCTGTATATGCTTAAATGTTTGGCAACTTCACAATTATGTGCTAAGCGAACTACTTGCTGTTTTTTGACTAAAAGCTGCCGAAAGCATCTATTGTTAATGATAACATAATTTTTAAGTTTCTGAATAAACAAATTTATAAAAATATTTACAAAGAGGTTTTTCGAACAGTAGTGAACTACAAGAACAAAAATTTTATTTTTTATATTATTTATATCGAGTATTGCCAAATACCCATCATCAGTGGTCTTGGAAATAATTCTTGCATTTAATTATTAGTAAATAATTATTTTTACACATTTTGCATACTATACTATATCATATACTATGTTTACATTAATTTATACAACCTCATTAGCATATTTTTTTATAAAAAATAACATTTGAGACAAATATATCGAAGTAATCATGTAAACATACTGATGTGCGGGTTTTTTTTTCTAAGGGTAATGTTATGTCGAGTGTCTCGAGCACGGTATGAGTAAAATTGTTTCTGTTTTATAGCAAATTATAAAATTGAGAGGGAGAGAAAAAATAATACGTTGTTTCAAATTTCAGCATGAGAACCAGGCTATTTCTACCTTGGCACTTGTGCCAAGCAATGTTGTCCAGTAATAAATACCAGAATTTTGCCGTGCCCAAGACAATCTACATAATATATCCCTAACTCTGCGTCCATATTTACTACAGTTCGGAAAGACTTTCACTTTTTCGTTAACATTGAAAAATTTTTGTTCACAGACAATATTCGGAAATAATATGTATTTGCATTCAATAGAAAATTCTTTCCAAAGTCTATCAAATCTTAATGCCCAGTAAAAACAAAAACATAGAATTATTCTTGTTTCTATATTTTTGAACCAACTCTGCAAATGTAGCTTATCTATATCATAAACAAAAACATAGAATTATTCTTGTTTCTATATTTTTGAACCAACTCTGCAAATGTAGCTTATCTATATCATTAAGGTTTCTTGCAGGTGCTGTCACTCCGGGCGACATGTCAATTTGTCATTTCGTGTTAGTTGTCAAGCGGCTTGTGAATTTATAAAATATAAACTTAAATAATTCTGCGGCCTGCGTGTTATTTTGAGGCATACTAATAAAAAAGGTTTTGCGAAAAAGTTGCAAATTAAAATATGGCTGATGTTTTAGATATTGATAACGCTGAAGAGTTTGAGGTAGACGAGGATGGCGATCGTGAGTGTTCATATGATTTAAAAATTTGTGTTAAAATTCATTAAATTAACAAGAATATATATTTTGTAGAAGGTATTGTGCGTTTAAAGGAAAAAGCAAAGTCGCGCAAAGGTCGTGGTTTTGGAAATGAAAGCAATGTTCGCGAAACCATTCACAGTTATGACCGCGTGCGCCATGAAGATGATGACGAACTGGAACCGGGACCACAACGATCTGTTGAGGGTTGGATTCTATTTGTAACGTCAATACACGAAGAAGCACAAGAAGATGAAATT